CGCTGCGACGAAATTTGCAGACATTCGAGACTGCAAAGTCGCGTCGCTGATGAAGATAATACCACAGGTGCAGTATTCATCCCAGGCCTTCCAACAGTCAAATTCGCTCAGACATACAGCACGCTTAATCTGCTGGCCTTGGATTGTTGCCTGCATGTCTGCCGCTCGAATGGTGCGTGTGGTTGTTGCCCCGTCCAATCTATATTGGTAGCCTGCCCTGTTACATCCGGCTTGCACGCATCGGCAAATTTCTCGAAACTAAAGCTGGGCGCAGAGGGGTGGAAAAGACAGGAATACGGTGTCTAGATGTGGTCGAGAGGTTGAGGGCAATGTGGGTGCCGTGGCAGCGGCAGATAGCAGCGACTCTAGTGGCAGCGACTCTAATGGCAGCGACTCTGATGGCAGCGACTCTGATGGCAGCGACTCTAATGGCAGCGACTCCATAAGTAGGGACCTTGAGGGAAAGTACTAATGGTAGCGACTCCACTGGCAGCGGCTCCAGCGTGGGCCCGGTGGAGAGGTCAGACTTGAAGTGCGGGTATTGTTGAAATTGTCCATAAAATCCACGCTGCGTGCGCGGGAAAAAGTGCGGCTGCGTGAAGTTTTAAGGAAGGTGATGGCGAGCTGATCAGGGTGGTCGAGGGCGGGCTGGTGGAAGAAATGTGAGGTGTGCTCCAAGGCTTGGAGGGTGGACGGGTATCCTGAGCAGTGACGGCAGCAGGGCGGTTAGCACCACCGTACCTTTTAGTAATGAGATCTCAACATACCAGCCTTCTCGGCAATGAGTCGATCAATGTTGGGAATGTACGGGCTCTTTGCACTTGTGTAGATTTATTTGCACCGGCTCATGTGTACTTGTACGGAACTCGACGGTCGACCTTGTGGAGGGGATTGGATGCGCGCATGTTGCCAACCAGCCCACAACCGTCCATCCCGACCAGGCAGCATTTTCATAATGACCGATGGAATTCCAATCAGTCTTCAAAGAATGCGGATTGGGCCCCTTTTCCCAATGTATCGATGCGATAGCGAAGCTACTGGCGCATGCTCATGCCAGAGAGTTACCTTCTTGCTGTACAGAATTATTTGAACGTGGCAATGGTTGTCGATGGACATGGTTGGGATCAAATTGCTAGGCACCCACCAGGCACTGGTCTCGCTGTAAGATACGTACCTTTTAGTGGGTAGGTGCAGTAGCTACCTTACCCACTGCAGCTGTGGATAGCGCACTGCCAGCTACTGGCCTTACCCACGCCCTGGAACCCACACCACCAAGCTTCCCACGCCAAACGTCTTGGTGGCACTCCAGGGCACCGCGCCCATCTTTGATATCTGCTGCCGCCCTCGGCTTTGATGCTTGGATATTCGAGAATGGCGAGATCTTAATAGGCAATGTGTCTTTCTTGCGTCTCAAGCGCGGCACTTTTTGCTGGGGGAGAAGATCAGCCTGTAGGTAGTTAGGCACGGAAGGCACAACGAGAATCTGGATCTCGTTTAGTGCACCTTGAGGGCCTGGACGAGGAGTCACACCGTCGTGGGTTGCAAGGGTCGCGAAGAGAATCACAGGCTGCAGGGCTTTGAGAGTCGTCCCTTCCTCAGTCACAATGAAGCCCACCCACGCCCAGCGACCCCTCTGGCCACCTCATTCAAGAAACGAGGCCAACCCACACCAAAGTACCGTTCCTCGCACCCTTCACTCTCATTTCCGCCCGTGGCTTCTTTGAAACCCGCCATTATCAACACTCGAAAGCCATTCTGGTTATGTTTGAATTGTAGCGGTGCTGCAGGTCACACCAATCCGTCCACGGCACAGACATTGCCGTCTCCACCGCTCAACCTCAAGGAGCACGCCAAACAAGCTGACCAGCGAAAACGCAGCAAACGATGTCAGCGCGTGGCTTGTTCAGACGCGGAGGGTGGCTTGTCCCGGTGCAATGGGGTACTGTGCGACCGGTCCGGCGGACACATCCACGCGACAGAACGGACAGAGGAGACTCGGCAACTTTGGGAGGCAGGTCGGACACACTATGTGACCTACCGCCATCGCAGTCAGCACAGGCATGCATCCGATGTACAGAATATCCACAAGACTCACCGCACTCGAAAACCAAAAGGTGCAGCGCGGGCTCTTCCTCGCATAGCGGACATTCCGGAGACTGAGGCGGGTAGGCCATGATGCATCGCTGGTTTTTATGGCAGCACTTGGCGCCCCGGGCGCAGGCCCCACATGCCATCTGTCAGTCAGCCAACGGTCAGCATGGCATTGGTACATGGCGAGAATGAGGTCTTGCTCACATGCGAACACTCGGTAAAAAGATGATTCTTCTCGACAGAGCTGCTGCAGAGGCATCCGCCACCCGCCATGGCGCGGGACATTCCCGAGTGGGACAGAGTGTAATGGCTGCTGGGTCCCGGACTGGGGCGAATGGCGCGTGAAGAAAGAAACTCTACCTCGTCCTCCTCATCATTCTGTCGAGCGTCTGCAGCTTGACTGGCACTGGAAGAGGGCAATCGCCGCCAACTGATGATACGGACGTCGTCATTATCGTCGTCGGCCTCACGGCCTTGGCCTTCAGCGGGTCTATTGGCGTTGTTGGACATAATGGAAGCGCTTTTGGGATTTTTGAAAGATGGAATTCGAAACGTGGCTTCGGAACTCAGCAGCCCGTTACGGAAAGCCGGAAACCACCGAAGCGGACGTCGTTGGGTAGGTTGCAATCTTTCAATCCAAAAGCAAACGCCGCCCAAGGCAAACGTCAAAAAACGAGGTCGCTCCAAGCATTGTCACGCTAGCCAGATTCGGATGGTATCATCTGATCTGATCTATGGAATCTGATCGGCCCGCCCCGAAGAAATTCTCCGAACCTGAGTGCGTCTGAAGGTACGTACCGACCCTCCACCACAAGGCCCGTCGCCCACCACAAAGTGCCGACCACACACGTTGGCTATCTGACTGCCTGACCTGCATGTCCCAACCTCAAGCTGGAGGGCGACTTTTGCAGCATTGGCAGTTGCAGCCCCTTCCGCCATTGAAATCCGCGTCCTGGCCACGTGCTGAAAAATCCGCACCAGCCGCCAAACTGGAGCAACAAAGTCCACTCTTGATTGACACCTACGAAGACAAGTGACAAGCGGCCAGCACAAGCATGCAGGGGGGCTGGCATCAGAATTTAATAGACCTCCAAGCATACACAAAATGGCTCGGAAATTTCCCCAAATAGCGAGGCTGTGTTGCAGGGACTCATCCAGCATCCACTTCCCGATTGTCCCGATTCGTATCAACTCCATAGCGGATGCCGTTCTCATGACCTGCCCCAAATGGGCGTCATCCGGGGGAGGAAAGTCTTCATCCGAAACAAGAAAAGACAGGGGTAGAGAAAGAAGAAGTCGCAAAGCAGACGTGGATGAAGTCATATTCGAGCAATGAAGCCCACAGAATTATCTTGACTTCATGGATCGGGATTCAGAGTGGCTTGCATTCGACTAGTCCCGATTTGAGACTCTCAGCCTGGTTCATCCTTCAACGCCTTCTACTCGGCGAAGGGCGTTGCCAATGTCGTGCACCCGCTCCAAACCTGTAGCAAGTGCCACCCCCAGAAGCATCTCACATCTCTCAGACGCTTATTGCGGGCCAGTGACGTCTGACAATACGGCTGAAGGAGTTCATCTCGAGGCTGTGTCTCCTTGAAGCTCTGATGATTCAGCTCGTCGAGATTGGAGGTGATTCTCCCCTGTCTCCCGCCCCCCACGCCCATGCCATCTTGGCTGCTCTTCCACCCGGCTAATCCCCTTACCATGTGCTAATGAATCGGTGGCCGGTGATTTTGAGCCTTTCTTCGCGGTTTTGATTCTTTTCCTGGTGGCATAAGGGTCTGTGCCACGAATAGATGCATCATACCGACGGCCGGCTGTCGTTCTTCTCTATATTTACTGTTGCCCGCTGTGGTGCTTGAAACGGTCTGAACACGCATGCTGTGACTGGTAGCGATGGGCCCGCACGAAGTTACCTCCGCACCTCGAACGCGTGGTATCAGGTACCTCATGGCATTGACGCACCACAGGGAGCAAAACAGTCAGTTTCTGGCAATCATAGAGCTTTTTCAGGTAAAGCTCAGCTGAGTCCAAAGCAGCCTTGGTCTCACCCCGTGTTTGAATTGAGATTTCTTTTGCCACTGTCAATCGTCATGCACAAACTACTCATCAAAGCTTGCTGGAATGAATGGGATAGCACAGGCTGTCTGAAACTCATTGCTATCATACTTCCTCCAATATCCCAACCGTCTTTGTTCGGCTTCCCAACGCCAAGATCTCCAAGCTTAACTCCAACACACCTTAGTCCTATGACAGGCACAGAGAACACAAAACAATGTTGCTTACTTACCCGCTTGTGTCTCCAATTGCTTCGGCCAGGCAAACGGGCGGATCGAGCCAAGACCGACTTCACGCCGTGTTGCCAAGGACCAGAGCGTGCCAATCGTCATCAAGGCAGGCTGAATGTCCAGTCATTTCTGAGACCATTCCTTGCAGACATGCTTCTACATCTGTTGCGCAACGTGGCACATTCATTTCGGTCGGTGTCAGTGGGAACACTTCTTCGCGGGCAGACATGATGACGGAGCCCATCACGGAACAGCCAGCATTCACGTCGCGGGGCCGAGGGACTTGCGGCTAGCCATGGACGATGGTCCTCTCCCACCCATCCCTGCCCGAAACGAGCGCCGATACCACGCAACTTGAGCCAACGAGGTGCCGCTGCTCAACGATGGCCTCAACTCCATGGGCCGGCATCTGAGGACTTGCCAGAGCGGCGGCTGCGAGTTGTCAGACCTGGCAGTCACTGGTGAACAAAGCATCGGTGATGTATAGGTGTGTTGCGATTCTAATGCATTCATTCTGTTCACACCTGGCTACAAATTTCTGAGCCTAAACCATCTTGATACATTAGCGATGCCCTCTCACCCTTGTCGGAAAGTGCAAAGTGTGGTGCGCAGCCCCCATCCTCATGCCAGCACCTCGACAAACGATCTCGGCGTGCTGAAAGACGCGATGGGCCAGGAATGGTCAATTGAGTCTTCTTGGGACTTCTTGGTAGGGTGATAGGTCTCGGTCTCGAAACCGTAGATGGGCGCCCCAAGGCTGCGGAGGGAATGAATGATCGTCCGGCTTGAAGCTCAGGCGAAAGCCAAAGTTGGGAGAGCCCCACGTCTTGAAAGGTGATCGTCCTATCACCGCGGTGCACGACACGAATTTAGTTAGCCGGGCAGTCACCGCCACGACCTCAATCGTAGCGTACCTGATACTTCGATGAGAATGACAATAGTAGAGAAAACGAAAGACGACGAAGATAGATAGGTGCTTCAAGTCGGCGAAGGAGGTGAATTTCTCTAGCTTGTTGAGCCTTGTTGTTGGGGTGATAGGTCTCGGGATCGAAACCGTAGATTGGTGCCCCAAGGCGGCGAAGGGAGTGAATGGCCTGGATTTGTTTCAGCGTGAGATTCCAATTGGCCCCCAGAGGGGGGCATCTGGCGAGAAGCGCAAGGGGAGGCCAAAGGTGGGAGAAACTCACGTCGTGAATGGTGATGGTCTTCGCACCGCGGTATTCCACGTATGTGATATAATAGCCACCGGTGACCTGGCAATGCGTCAGTCAAGCTAGCCATGAAGAACACTTGTGTTTGACACGTACAATGGTCGAAGATAGTGATCGTCTTAGCTCCGCGGTACTCAAAATTGCCCGGATAGCCAACTGACACTGCCCGGCTGGCAAAACGCTTCGACATATGTGATGCAGTCACGGATGATCTGGAATAGCGTAAGTCTAGATGGCTTTGAAGAACGTCTGTGTTCAACACGTACACCCGTGAGTCTATCCTTCAGAGCAGTGCGTGCATCGTCGTAGATCGCCAACGCAGAAGCTCGACACTAAAGTGCCGCGGTGCCACGCCATGATGATCCACGCGTTTTGGGGATGCGATGGTTGAATCCTGAATTTCCAGATCGATGTTGAAGGGCTGGAACAGAACTCGACACCCATTCATAGCGTGGAAACGAGGCTGTCCTCCCTGCATCAGTGTCAGCGCGTTCTCAATGAGCGGAGCGAGCGGATACACCTAGATCCAGCGCAAGATGTAGGAAGAGGACTAATCTGGGTAGAGCGGAATCGACTTCCAGAAAGGTCGGGGTTTGAAAACACCAACCTTGGAGATGTTGGTCGAGACTTCGATGTCGCTTTGTTCCAGGTGATGTTTGGGTGTTGTTGCGAAGTGAGCTTGGATGCGTGCCTGGTGAGCGTCCTCTGTGGATGGCGGTCTCGATTGGATGTAAGTAGCCCTGTGAGGTGTAGTTCGGTCTGCGAATAGATTGCATCAGACTCGCCACGATGGCGGCAGCAGCTATGATTGCTACGTCAGAGATCATTCTGCTGAGCATCCTGATGGAGCTGGCTGGCATGGTGGTCTGCGGCTGGACAGGGACTCCTTCGCGGGCATTTGCTCGAGCAGCTGTTTCCGCTGCAGCATCAGCTTCCGGTATGACCGACTCCCAATCCCGTTGGGGCTACCTCGACGAGGTTAGTCGAGTGGGATAACCGGAAAATGCGACACGAGTAGCTGACCTATGGCAAGGAGTGCAGTGGAAGTGGACGGTATTAGTCGTCAGAGAGGACTACGTCCATCGCTGTCATAATTCTGTGGTTCGCGGCATGGGGGGACAGAAGTTGGGTGGGGCTCGTTCCAAGAGCGACATTCGTAAGGATGGAGAATTTTACGGTGTGGACTTGATGCAAAGAGCGGCCTCGAAATGAGCAGCTGAAAGGCGAGATGATGCACTGGCGTTGAGATTGATGCTTGTTTGACGAGAAAAGGGGACAGAGACATGGCGAGGGGATGTTGGAAATGGTCTTTCGGGCGAGGGGATTTGGTTTTCCAGGGTAAGAATACTCGAGCGAGGGGGATGAGGGAAGGTGACGTGACAGGGTAGAAAAACCCAACAGAGAAAGCACCATCCCGGCTCTCACAAGAAAGTTAGAAGGAAAGAAGGAGAGAACCAACTCGAAGCAAGAGACAACGACCCACAGAGAAGCAGAAAGACAAACAAGACAGCACCTTCCCAGCCCGCATGCGAGGGTGCGACGACGGAAAGTGCGTGGGCCAGTCACGGGAAAACACAAAACTCGGAAGGTGCTACACAAAATTCAATCGATCTGTGGCAGCTGAGCTGGCATAATTTCTCCTGCCGATTTTTCGTCAGCACTTCTCCCCCCCTCCCACCGGCACCCACCGTCACCCACCCGTAAGTTGCTGCGCGTTGAAGAAAGGTCACGTATGTGCATCTTCAGCCCCCGCCATTGCGCCCAGAACCGACTGGTGTCGTGACTAACATGTCAAGGTATACTTCTGCTTTGCACGATGCACCCGCAGCTTGTACAGTGGTGGCTTCGGTAGGGTTGAAGAAGCAGAATTCCCGTCTCAATTCATCTTCTTCGGATTGTTCGCGTCAGACAGCATGATTATAGGCATCGTGGATTGAATAATTAGACACCAAAGCAATGACTTCCTCCTCATGTCCGCAGACCAACTCCATCCATCTCCCCAAACACCCAATACCAGCCACTTCAAGCTCGTCCACATCCACAGCCTCCGCCATTCTCAAATGCTAGTCCTGCAATCCTCATCAGGCTGCTGAGACGAGAAAGCTGCTCCCCAGGGGCCGCATCTGAATTTCTGGTCAGCGCCCAGGAACACCGAGATCAGCAACGGCACAAACCTGTTCAGGAAGACCGCAGGAATCACAGGCATGGATTTTCTGTTCTCGTCGTCTTCAGCTTGAGTCCTCTTCGTCGTAAACCGTTGCACTGGGATTGCAACAGTCTCATCGCCTCCTGGCGCATCTGAATCCTTCTTCTTCCTCCGTTTGGGGGCGGCTTTGAGGCTACCAGTAGCCATCCCTCTTTCTGTTTCGCCGGACTCCCATGGATCTGCTTCTTCCGCCTCTTTGTCAGGGGAACATCACGAAGCTCATTCGCAGGAGTTGAGTCCGAATGGGAGCTGATTCGTCATGCATTGCTTGTGTCGAGGGGTCTGGAGGGGCTGGTTCTGAGTTTGGGCATCTGCACAAGAGATGGGTCAGAGAAATGAACTTAAAGGTCTGGAACGGTGCAAAATACCCCTATGCCGTCAGTCCTGAGAGACGTTAGCGAGATTGACGGTGCGTAGTAGTCGAGGGGACTGGGAGGATGTCGTCTGGTTGGGATGGATGGATGGATGAAGTCTGATGGACTGCACCGTTTTATTTAAGCGGCGGGAGATCTTGGCATAAGGGAGAAGGAAAGCCAAAAGACCATGCGACCGGTGGTGATTGTGCTGGGGGAAGAACCAGCCCGGGACTTGGAGTTTGCTGGGTAGGAGCATGAAGCGGCAGGGAGGAGCTGAAGAGCTGCAACTTCATGGCTTGGCTGGGTAGGTACAGAAATGCTTGACTGCCTTTTGAGAACCAGCCAGTCCCACCCAGAAACAGCAAATACAACACAGCTGCCGGGCCGCTGATTCAAGAGGCATGCGTGTCCTTCTCACCTTACCTTGTGAACCCTGGAACCTCTTTATAACCAAGGCCTAGTCCCAGCGCAAGCTCATAAACCTCCTCAGCATCGATGCTGCCTTGCTGTCCGACCTTGAGGGGGACATCATCGACACCGAAATTCGCTGTCGACCTCGCGTAAAAAGGGTTCGCTCCAGCCGCCCACGAACTCAAACCCAAGGGAAGTGCACTTAAACGCCGGGCTAGAGCGTGAGGATGTCTTCACAGCTAGACGCGCAATCACAGCGAACATAAGCCCAGAGTTTTTGGAAGTGTTGGTGTTTCTCAGGGCAGCGTCGAAACGACTTTGCTTCCGTGATCCCTACAGAGGCCTCCCTCAGTGTCCGCCTTCCTTCTTTCCTCATGCTAAAGTCCATCCTTTCAAAGATGGTCCAGCGGAAAGTGACCTGCCCCAAGTGCTGGCCGGCAATAACTTCCCAATCATCCAAAATTTCAGGTCAAGCCTCCCCTCCGCCTTCCCTTCCAAACCACCGCCTGCTCTTCGTCAAGTGCGCCTTCAGAAAGCCCTGTCTTCTGTCATCGGTCCAGACTGCCACGCTGAAACTCCCATTTTGGTAGCCCGCGATCACCTCTTTCGAAGGCTATGGTAACTACCTGACAAAAAAGACTCACAATGAAAGAGAGGCGGAATTCAGCGAGGAGTATGACTGGCACACATGCAAGCTGGCGAGCAACCTGCCGATACGAATTCCGGTGCCAACGAGACGGGACACCGACCGCAACGCCCAGATTCAGGCCGAGGCTCGTCAGGCGGACTGCGACGTCGACATCACGGGTTCCACACGTCCATCCGGGCGAGCCAGCCGATGAGCATCAAGACCGATGTCGTTAACGGAATCAGCACCAATACGGTCACGAACGATATCACGTCCATCAGCAAGGCTCAGATTGATGCCGCTGAGACAGCCTATCGCCGGGCTGGCTTTTATCTTGGTGTGATATGGTTCTTCGAAGCTCACGGCAGCAGAACAACATTGGAGTTACGCCCTTGCCCAGCTGCTCAGCAAGTATCGCCGAGACGCTGTCGACGAGGCCTGGCGCCCGGGGTTCAACGTGTCGGAGACGGAACATTACTTGTTCGCTTTGGTGGCGTTCTCGATCTCGACGCCCTTGGTCTTGAGGTACTTCTGCTCGACGCTCTTCGTCAACGACGCGCTGTGGAACAAAACGCCCGTCTGTGTCGAGGCGGAGGACATCTGCAACGCAGATTTCCATTTCAAAAATGACGAATATGGACATGCTAGTGACATCGGAGCATCAGAAATTCTACGTGTAGGGCAGTAAGGTGCAGAAACATAGTCAAGGGGGCACAACTCGTCAGGCCCCCGCTTGCAACATAATCAGAAGCCACAGAGACGTTAGCTAACATGCGATTCTCTGTTGGAGTTCCGAGAGTGTGCAAGCAAGCTTGCAAACAGCTCAAGTTTCCACTCATTAAGTCATTGCAGACATGTGGCTGGTGCCAATTTCCCGCATAGCCTTGAGAAAGGCATCATGCAGGCTGAAGAGAAATCCCAATTTTGCTTAGAATTCAAATCAACAGTGCCGGAGTCAGCAACGGGGAGAGAATATTATGGATTTCGCAGATAACGGCAAACGAGACTTGTGGCTTATTGCGCTGGTTGTCATGTCAGATCGCGCGGGTGGAGTTGTGGAGCGAAACTGTTGATACCTACGATGAGACGAAGCGTGTCCGCGATCACCAGGTGCCCTTGCGTGAATCCGAGACGGCTGGTTTGGCCACAAAGGTAACTATAACTGCACTGCTACCTCATATGCAAATTGAATCATGAAGGGAAACGGTCAGAAGACTGGGATGTTATGGTAGCAGTGTGGAACAACGGGCGTTTATTGCAGACGGACCAAGTCGAACATGTGCCCTCACCACTCCCGTACAAATTGACGATGATAGGAGGGACTCAACGAGGATACCTGAAGAACAGACATGGATACAGAGTCAGAAGCTGGGATATGCCATCTCATAAGGTGCCTCGGCGATGAGGTTAAGCGATGCGTTCAAGGGGAAACTTGCTGCAA